AAAGCAAATGGATGGAATGAACTAAGCAAATTAAATAGAAAGAACCTAAGTGCAATGGAAAAGCGAGAAGACATAGAAAGTAATGAAAGAACTTAAATTGGTTTATAAGCTTTCCAAAAAAATGCCAAATATGAATAAGATTCCATATAAGAGAAAAAAAAATACCCGTAATCTTTTCTCAAGTTGCAAACGCCATGTGAGATCTTCTAACTGCTTCTCAAGTTTATTCTTAGCCAAACGCAAAGCACCAGCTTCATTAGCCTCCTGCAGAACACAAATGAAAAGTAAGTGTGATTATATAGAACACTTTCTCGTACCTGAGACTGGAACAGCTCAAAAATTTTACAATATTATAAGCAAAATAAGTCTTCACATGAATAAAACTCATGGTTTTTCTCCGAAGTAATCAATTTCATACTTGTTTAAGCCTTCGGAACTGTCTTTTTGCAAGTTTTTGCCTCCAAAGACACTGTATTGCTATGATAGAAGTTTGATGGTGACGTAAAGCTAAGCGGAACTTCCGCATCCTCCAACGAGCCTGAAAAGTTTACATTAAACAGTTTAGGTTTCCATCAGAATTGCATATCATCATATAAAGATCCCAATTTGAAGCATGTGATATTTAATTCCAACGAACTTTCATCGACCAGATGGTTTGCCAAGAACAAGAAACCAATGCAAGAAGCTGCAAGACAATTCCTGAGCCAGCCTTCAAATTTAAAACTAATGACACAATAATATTCCTCAGCATGAGTTTCAAATATGCATATACACAAACTGCAATCACGGGCATTGAAAGAGAGAGACCAGGCCACTGCATGGGATGTAAATAACAAGAAGCACCAAGACCTCAAATTTTACTTTACCTGAATCAAAGTGGCAGCTCTATGCTTCTTCACATGCACAAACTTTTTGCGTGCTAAGTAGCAGCGAATATTGGACTGTATAACAACAGCAGCCGAGAGTAGTTTCATGTAAAAACACCTTAACAACCACCTGCGGGCAAATTTCTGTATTGAAATAGCAGCTGCAGTTTCTCTCTTCATAGCATACATCTTCCGCGTAAGGCATCCTGCAATGTAATTGCCGCTAAGTGCTAAATCATGGCAGATCACAAGAGGTCAAATAGTGATAAGAGAATTTTATATCATCTGGCAGCATTATGCCACTAGAATTGATGCCTAGAGACTTATGAAGAAGATCAAAAAAATGTTTGTTTCCAGGGATTAAGATGACAATTGAAAGGGAAAATCGGCAAAGTTGCTCCACAAGGTTATCAGAGTAATTGGTGATGGAGTTACGCATTAATGGACAAAAAAATCACCAGTTGAGATAATCAATACCCAACTACGGCATGGTATTAACTAGTCCCAGGAAATGAACAGTAAAAATACTAGAAGGATACCAGAATAGCAGATGATGAAGCTATATATTAACAGACCAAATCATCAGTATTTGGGATAATCAAATGCCAAACTGTAGCGTGGTATTAACAACAAAAACAAATGCAGCATTAAAATTTTCAACCATAACAAATACTTAAAGCAAAGAGAACTTTTGTTGGCAATCTGAATTCTTTTTACATGGTACCAATAGCACATATAGTATAAGAAAAGACCTCTGCAGTACGCTTGCAGTGAAAATGCAGCAATCCGCATGGAAATGAAATTCCTACGAACAATAAACGTTCGAAAGCAACGCTGGATAAGTTTTGCAGCATTGTCCAGAACCTCAGCCCGCCTTGAGTCCAAAACGCCAATCTGCCCAGTCCTAAGAAATACCTTTGTCCTCCCTAACTGGAACAGAACAGTTTGACAACAAAAACCCAAGAGCTTGGTTTAAGCTGTAACTTTCATCAATAATAAAATGACAGATGAACCATGCACATCCTGTAGGTTCATACCTGAAAATTTTCGAGCTTTAACTTCTTAAGAATTTTCTCTGTCAACTCCCTTTCATCATGACTACCAAACGAACAAATTTCAATTACTAACTGAACTCGAAAAGAAAACCAAAAGTGCATTCTAAAGAAAAAAAATATAATGAAAATGGAAAACTAAGGGGAACAGCCTACTAGACATAGTCGGGTCTAGATAAATCAAATGTCAAGATTAAGAGAAAAACCAAACAAATTTAATCAGATATCACATATATGTAAGACCGTAGAACATCATGAAGGACCTGTTAACATGTCCTTCCAATATTTATCATCAATAATGAACCTTTCTAAAACCATACCTCAAATCCATAAATTCAGGAGCTAATAGTCCAAATCGATCCACAAACTCTGAATATGTCCTTCGAGTGGGATAGCCTGCCAGACTTATCCGAACAGCTTCCAAAACACCCTGATCAACATTAAAAGTCAATAAAAAAAGCAATTGTGCAAACAATGTTAAGAATTGACAATTAAAAGGGGAAAAAAACAAAATCACAGAGGAATATCAAACTGCTTTGTTGGATGTTGAACTAACATGTATTTCATCAGTTGATTAGGTGTGACACTAGAATGTTAACGTTTTAATATTGCCATTGCTTGCTCGTGTATTTACTTAAATAGGGAGTGAAAACAACTCATGGACAGCTAATACAAACAATCTGAAATGGAAATGCTACTAAATCTTAACATTTTTTTATATGTTATAATATATCATTTAGGATAGAAAAATCTAGAAGATTTAAGTTTGATTGGAATTTAGAAATGTTTGACATTTCACTTATTAGTTTTGGTAATTCCTTACTTGATTACAGTAAGATCAACATAAAGGATAAAGTCTAATATTAGACCTCAGCACATAGATTCTAATATTAATTATTTTGTTTTCTTCAATTTTTTTCCTCCCCATTATATGTCTCTCTCTTGCACCATCTCTCCGTTTGCCCTTATTACTACAAGGGAAAAACAACCGACTCTCAAAACTCGTCCACGTTTTACCCAGAAAAGTAAACCACTCGAATCATTTTGGATCAGGTTTTCCGGGGCCGGACAGATTCGGTTTAAAAAGGACCCATCCAAACCCAACCCAGATGTATATACTATATATTTTAATTTTATTAAATATATATAGTATATATGAATATACATAATATATATTTATATCTTTTAATTTTAATTAAAATATAAAACCTTAATTCTAACAATCTAACATATTCCTCTTCCAGCCACCATCTTCCTCTTTCTATGTTATCTTCTTCTTCTCCTTCCAATCTTCCTCTCTTCTCCATTATCTTCTTTTTCTAGTCTTCCACTTCCTCGCTGCACAGCACCATCATCGGACCTCACATTGTCTACTTCCAATTTTCCCTTCCCTTTCTGGACCTCTGTCACATCCGCTTCTAGTCTCCATGCATTGTCTTCCTCTTCCTCTCTGCTCTCAAGCCTTCAGCTGTTATCTAGTTGGATCACCATTCATCTCCACACTCAAGTCTTCCTCTTTGATCTTCCACCTACTCAGGATTGTCTTCTATCAACTTGGTTCTAATCGTGTTTCGCTGGAAACCTGACCATACTGAAAATGCACAAACTTGATAAACCTGCCCAAGATCCGAGGTGGGTTCTGGTTTTCTATTCATAAAATTGGGTAAGGTTCAAGCTTTGCAAAAAACTGTCCCGGCCACAACCCATTTAAATCCCTAATTCATATTTTTTTCTTTACCTCTTTCCTTTAGTTCTCCCCATTTTATGTCCTTCCCATTTCAGAGTGTGTTGCAAAGCAATGTAAAAGATGTTCTCTAACCAAATTGTCCACAGCCCTGCCAAAATAGCTCCTGGCCATATAGGTTGCTCAGCCATTTGAACTCTTTAACTCCCAATAAGTGGGAACCCAAAAGACTCTCCATAGGGTGTGGAGTAATCAATGTTAGTCCAAATATATCAAACAATGTCATCCGCAACTTCCATGTTGTATTACACTACAAAAACACACAGCGATATGTTCACTGCTCCTTCCACACATAGGACATACGTCTGATGAAAGAATGTGACTTGGTCTACGCACTTGCAACATTTATTGTCAGTAAGCTGGCTGAGAGCCACAGTCCATGCAAACACCTTTATCTTGGAAGAGACTTTCACTTTCTAAAACATGTTAGCAAAAGATAGATGGCAATTAGGATGTTGAATAAGATGTTGAAAAAAGGAGTTACACATATATGAATCAGATGGTTGCATCCAAAGAAATGAAAGTTCTAGGCTTGTCGTTTATTAGGCTGAAAGAAAAACTGTTGCATTTGGATTCATGATGTTTGCAAGATGGGTTGCAAAAGAGGAAATTGACTGCTAAAGGAGTAGTACCAATCCAATGATCCCCCTAAAAGAGGAATTTGTAGCCATTCCCAATTCTCGACCAGATAAAGAGCAAGGGGTGATTTGGGTACAGGGCATGGTAAAGGGCCTTTAAGGATAAGAGGTCTTCAATCTTATTCCTTTGGGTACATTTGAAATAGGAGAGCTTTTGAAAGGACTGAATCTAATTTTGATAAATTCAAATACACTTGGTTATTGACCCTAGGTTTTTTTATTAATCATACTCTTCATTCTTGTGAGGATCTTGGGGACCTTATAGGTATTTTGCTTGACATGTAAACCTTCGATACAAGTTGCATCCTCTTGATGCTTGTGAGTAGATGATATTTTTCATTCAAAAAAATATGGGGATGATTTGGGTAATAGCATTTTATGGACCCTTATAAGAGGTGGTACACCCTTCTAATACATCTCACCCATTTCAGCAGTCACTATTGATCACCCTGAGTCATAGAATACTATGTTCCTGCCAAAAACATCATAGAGCCAATAATGATAAATTCTTAGAGACAAGATTCCCAATGTCCAATTTCCTTGTGCTTCGGATCGATAACAAGCCTCTCAACTAAGTAAATAATCCCTAAGACTCTCTCCTAGACCTGCCCAGAACAACCTTCCTATACAACCCTCTATTCACTCAGCCACCCTTACAGGAATCTAAACAAGGAGAGACGTAGAGTGGAGTACTTGTCAAATGCGCTTGTATCAGGTTAACTTGACCTCCCATAAAAATGAAACCTCCTCTCCAACTCTCCAATAGTTTACTGACCTAACTACTCTCTCCAGAAAAGACTGTTGTCTTGTATTATCCAATAATGGAACCCCTAGGTAGTAATAGGCCAAGATAATCTAGCGCATCTCTTGACTCCAATCCACCTCCTCGATCAATGTTTACTAAGTTTACATGTAACTGAAGATAAGTTCATTAAACTGTATTAACATAAGAACATTACAAATCGAACTATTATTTTTTTTTAAATAACAGATCGAACTATTATTTTTTTTTAAAGTAACATATTGAACTATTATTAAGTTCTCAAACTCGACTAGTATCACCCACAAATTGCAAACGGGATACTTCAGTTCTATCTTTACCTACTACCTAGCCCTACACCACTCCTCTCTCTGATCCTCCCATCAACAATCCTACTTAACACATCAACAACGAAAGTAAATAGAAATTGAGGTAAGGCATCTCCTTGTCTCAACCCACTGAAAATAGGAACTACTCATTATAATCACTGCAGACGAAATATTTGTCATATCACCTTGATCCATTTAGTCTATATCTCACTAACCCCTTCCTTTCCATCACTCTAGTCACAAACCTCCATAGCATATAAAATTTCTACGCATTTAGGTTGTTGGAGGCGTCCTCTATTTTCTCTTTGTAACAAGGTCACTCCCACTCAATCTTTTTTGCCTATTATTCCCCTATATTACTTGTCTCTATCTAAGATTTCCAAGTGTGTCATTGAGAGAGTTGAGGTGTTGAGATTTTTCTTTGGTTGGTTTCGAGTGAGTCCATGAGAGTGATGAGACCATTGTGATAGGGACCATCCATTACAAAATTTGTCTCTTCGTATTAAATTGTTGTGACAGTTTCACCTTTGATTCTGACCCTTTGTGGTCCAGGGTTACTAAGAATAAGTTTAGGCTACACCAAAATGGATGCGACTCCAAAATTTAATGTTTTAAGGTACATAAGAAGCCTTGGAAAGGCTGTTTCTAATCTCTAAGTTCCTTTTACCCTTGCTCAAATTGAGAGTGAAGAATGGTTCTTGTTTTCTTTTTCGAGAGATCCTTGGATTAAAAATGCTCCCTTAACATCTAAATTCCCTCAGCTCTACAGTTTGTCCAATATCCATCATGCTCTTATTTCCTTTTTCTGGATCAACCTAATGATTATCAACCTTGGGAATGTGTCTTTTTTTTTAAAATCTTAATGATCAAGAAGCTCCTGATATGGTCTTATTAATTCAACTCCTTTAGTCTATTGTTTTTCATAGTTACTTAACTTTGGTCCCCAAAATCTTCGTGTATTTATTTTTACAAGCTTATCCTTGGATTTATAATTCATAATCTTGCACCTCCCAGTGTTGTTCTCAATAAATATCTACAGAAAGCTCCTGCCCTTTCTAAGGTAAAAGTTTGTGTTCAAACAACTGCTTATGACCACATATGCCTCAAGCTCATAGACAAACCATGTGTTCTCACCAAAGGTTTGTGTAACGTGTTTAAGAGACACAAAGATGCATATATTTCTTTTTTGCACTGTAATGTGGTTTGGAGAATTTGGTATTAGATTTGTTGATATTTAGTGTTTACTGGGCTTCTATTAGTATGAGGGTTTTCTTTATTCTATTCTAATGGATGCTATAGTACGAACATCAAGGTGTTTAAAGCTCTTCGGAAAGGCCCTCTTTTCAAGAATCAAATATCCACTGTTTGATTCTTTGGGATAGGATTATGTTATAGCAGCCTTGCGGGCTTAGGCTCACAAAGATTTTGAGGATATTTTGTTTATCTGTTTTTTAAAGATAGGCTAACTATTCTTTCGCCAGATTAGTTGTTTTTTTTTCTTTCTATCTCTTTTGGCTTTTCTCTTTCTTTCCGGAGGACACCAAATCCGCCTTTTTTATTTTATTCTTTCTTGTCAATAGAATTTCTTTCTACCAAAGGAAATCATAGTGAAAATATGACTTAAATCTGAAAATGACATTTTAGATCATATATATATATATATTGGAAAAGAGAAAATTAGAAGATTATAAAAAGGAGGATGAGACATCCTCCAAAAGCCTCCTAGAAATAGAGGACAGACATCATTAACAGAAAACAAAGTTCAATACAAAAGAGCGCACCGATTTCTAACTTATGTCATTATCATTTTCCAAATCTTACTTTCAGTTCGACAATTATATATGTTTATGGTGTATAAAGATATATGAACTTAGGGAATCAAAATTCAAAATAGTTTTCTACAACTAAAGAGGCTTAAGTTTTTGTTTGTCCCATAGATATAGTCACCATCATGCTATAAAAAGGAATAGTGCAAGAATACATAAACCCACAAGGTAAAACCATTATCCAGAAGACATGTTTAGGAATGCAAAAAGTTAAACAAAAAAATATTGCCACTAACCCCACAGCGCAATTGATGTAAAACGCTAAGATTCTCAAACTTTTGTGGTCGGTTTAAAGAGTTCGGCTTCACACAGCGAACATAATGAGGCTCGGTTGAGTTGAGAGTTTCCATGAGTGCTTGGAGTTGTTGCTAGAAACAAGAAAAAATAATTGTTAGCGTGACTTTAGTTTGGAAAACTCGTCCATGACATCCATCGTTTTCTGTTCTGTTAATGCGAGTAACTACCAAACTAACCAAACCCGGCAGTTTAGCCAAGTGGTTCCTCAACCAGGAGTTATACATAAATGCTTAGATTCAAATCAGAAGGACAGGAGAAACCTTAGAAAAGTATTTTTCAAAAAAAAAAAATACCAAACTAGTTAGGCAGCAAATAAGAAAATATAACCCATCTGCATACCTTAAATCTAGAGGCCACAGAAGAAAACTTGTAGGATGATCTCGAAGATTCCTCCGGAAGTGAAGGGAACAGACCAGCAATAAAGGGACTTTTGGATGATGACAAAAGATTGCAATGTTCCATCACAACATAATCCCGATTTTTATCTAAAAAGGTATCTGTTTGATAGGTCACCTGCAAAGTTAGAATCTGGTTATTGTAATTTTCCGGAAAATACATGTTTCTATTTGCTTGCATATAGTGCCAATTTGACATGCCTTGCCAGCATAATGGGAAATGATAAAATCTGTTTCTGAGAATTTCTCCTTCTCCAACCTTGGATGGTCACGGAAATTCTGAAACAGCTTGGTCGAAAATGTATGATTTGTTGACTTTGGGAACATGCTGCATAAATAGGAAATCTAAATCAGAACTCTTTGCAGGCAAGCACTTGTATACAGCAACAATCACCAACTTATATTCAAGAACTAAAATAGTACCAAGCTTCGTCCAGGAGTGCAATTATCCCAATGGGTTTCTGCAAACATATAACTAATAGGATCAGGCTAAAAAGTAACAGAATCGATTAAACTAAAAAAGTAAAAGAAATATAAACATTAGTAAAACATTAGAATTTTTTTAATGTAACCATTAAGGCACGAAATGCCAAAAGCATCATCATACAGACAGGAGAAATACAATTTAGATATATTTGGCAGAAACAAATAAAGCATGCTAGACTTAGCAATGTGAAGGCCAGCAGGCCATGTTGAGTGTAATGAGGGAAAAAAATCCTCCTCACCATCTCACAGTTGTTGTCTTTGTCAAGTAAAGTTGTTCATTTCACTAAGATTTGTTTCTTGAAAGAAAATTCTCCACGTTAGGGATCAGATTAAATTCCAGAGGAAGAAGGAAAAGAAGAGTTCAATAATTGCAATATAGTAGACAAAACATATCAGGAAAGCTGCCACATGCATAAATTTGGGATAGAAACAAAGAAAAACCTTCTCAATCAGATCTAAAACATCTTGGTTGTCTATAAATTCAATATAGCTCCAATTAATTTCCTCTTTCTGATAATCCTCCTGCTCCATCTTGAATACATGCTGAAAGAAATAAAGAGAAATAATAAGATGGCTGGCAAAATGTATATTGACTTTACTTTCATGGTTTTATTAACAATACACACCTCATTGAAATGCTGCTGAAGTTTTTCATTTGCAAAATTGATGCAAAATTGTTCAAAACTGTAAAACAGAAGATGAACAATGATTGCAAGGAAAGAAAAACCAAATTACTGCACTAGTACACCATGTAACTATAGCGGACAACATCAGTAGAACCATGACCTCCATGAAGAGCAAAACAGAAAAGAGTTTTTCGTGGGAGTACAGGTGTGACATCTAACAGGCTAACTCCAGATGTCAACTCTTGAACCAACACATTTAAGATTATGGACCTTACAATTCTTACTTGATGTCAAGGGAAAAAGGTCCTGCCCTCGTATATTGCTCTCAGATTGTACCAAGTGCATTTTTCCTATCTTATAGGGGGTTCTAATCTCTGCATATGATCTTATGAAAAGATGAAATTCATTTGGACAAGAAGAGTCCGACCTAGCTAAAAGAAAGTAAGGAGATAGAGAATCCAGTAAATGGGCGAAATTTTAACAACAATGCCAACATAGACAATACTAAAAAGACTAGTTTATCTAAAAATTCATGAATAATTGAGCAAAACATCGATCACATAAGCAGTCAATTAACAAATAATATAAGAGTCACACATCGCTTAAACCACATAATAACGGCAAGAAAAGAAAATGTACAAGAAGCATGATAAACTAAGAAAAAAAAAACACTTACCTGTTACGCTTAAAGCATTCAAAGCCATAAATATCCAAAACCCCAATCTGTACACGTGAATCTGGATCTTGCCCAACAGATTTGTTAATCTTATCAACAAGCCTAAAAAAGCCTCAAACAAGAAATTCTTCCAGTCATATAAAATATATGCATCATTTGGAAAAAAAGGTACTTTATCAGGCAGTGATTACAAAAATACCAATCAAACAATCGAGCATAAACAGTTTTCGCCAGTGCATCCCGGACAGCAACAGCTGCATAACAATCAAGAGCTTTAACAATACTTCCTTCCCGGGTTTGAATTGTACGGGTACATAACGATGCCAGCAAAAGGCTCACATCACACCTTGACAAGGAAACATTAAAGTCAGTAGAATATTTAAGTTAAAAAACTTCATCCTAAATAGGTGATTGTCACATCACCAGCAGAAAAACAAGGTTCATGGTTCAAGTTGCCAGCACCAAGCTTAGATTGCAAAAAAGTTTCTTGTCCACCTAATAGCCATACTGCATATGAATTATACTTCAGAATCCAGATCATACATGGAATTCTCATTCCAAAATCTAAAGACACATGTAGTACGTTCCAAAAGAATTGAAACAATGCTCTGTAATATAAAAGAACCTTCAATCATCAAAAAGCTAAGGATTCCAAATCCAAAGGTAAAGGCAACGAGAGAAATTTATTAAAACGAGGCAAATTTGGATTTACTAAATCAAGCACATACATAAAAAGATCAGCAGTCATCTGCATGTGGAATTTAGATCTCTGATCCTTTATAGCTGAAGAATCATGCTCTTTCCCAGGAGAAAATTCAATGTTTCCAAGATGCAAAATAGCAGCCAGAGTGCGAAATATAGATTCCTGATATAGATAACAGCAGAAAAGTAGGAAAACATTCAAAAAGAATGACAAAGGTTAAAAAAGAACATGTAACCTCAGAGAACCATGCCATTTCTAAGCTTCTTTACCTGATCCTCATGACTTATACCAACAATATCCATTGCCCTCCTTGTCTTCATGTATTCTTCAGCACTACTCACTCCATCTAATTCATAGGTCTTACTCTGATTTAAATAGTGAAAGTGGCTTGGATGATCTAATTTGTACTTTTCTGCATCCTACATGGATAAAAATGTTCCAGTACTCATAAGCTGGAACCATATGCTTTATATGATGCAGATACTAAACATTAACACATATGAACACATCAGTAAGGCCCAAGTATATATGTAACCTAAATATTAACTACACATATAGGTGCATAATAGCATAATGGATAGCCGAACTGCCACCAACAGAGGAACTCAAAAATAATTACCTTTCCAGATGCACATAACTGGTAAAAGCAGTGATAATTTCTCTCAGGATCCGTTATCTGAACTACACGGGACCGTTCAAGAAGGTAAGTTCTGATTGCAGCACCAGATATTCTACCATTGGCATCAAATTGGATCTCAACAAACTTTCCAAAACGGCTGCCACAATGAAGTATAAGGGTTAAAGTAAGCAGAAACCTTCCCAATTTCTTTTCAAAAAAAAATTCCTAGATAAATGTAAATAAAGATATTCAAGAAAACTAGAAAAGCTAAAATCAATGGACTGAGTATTTTTCTTCTCATTACTAAATAAGTAAGGTACTATACTAAAGGAGCTCTATGGTTCCTGTATGCTGATTTAATCATTAAGCATTTACCTAAATGCAACTTCCTGGTTTATATCATTATCTATAACTATTTCTACAAAATACATACATATTTTCCTCTGACAGTTTGTTTCAGCTAATAATTAAATCCAATTTTGTTCAGCACAGACTTTTTACCTTGTTCACTAACTCTAATAGTAATTAAGAGTCGTAATCAAAAATTTAGCCTAAACTCATGAATGAACAAGAGATAAACGAAAAGAAGATCAACTTTTTTGGAACCCTTCTATCTTCAAACAAAATAGAATGTGATGGATTCGAGATATTCCAAAATCACCTGAGCATTCAAAGATGCAAGCAGATGAAAAATAATTCAAGCCATTGGCAATTCGGATGAAGTAGAATAAGTAAATTACTAACAGTAGCTTCTTTCATGTTTGGAATAGTTTGAATGAGGATTAGTAAATTGAAAAGATACTATACGCAACCAAAAGACCATATACCTTTGAACAAATAAAATTTAAAAATAATAACACAATAATTCTAAATATCTTAATATAATAATTTAAAGCATTTAAATTAAAAATATCCAGATATGCTTAGGAATTCCGGTAGGGTAGAATGGGACAGTTAAACAAGAAAGAAGAGTGGAGTAAATAACTCTTGTTAGCTGATTTCTTACTTGGAACAGTCTGACTAAGAGAATGTATATGAATTGGAAAGGATTATATACGCAAACAAAACAATCAACCCAAAAGAAATATATTTAGAAATATTAGTACCATTAATATGGTAATTAACTAAGAGATTGGATATGAATTGCAAGGGGTTGTATACGCAAACGAAACAACCAAACCATAAGAAATATATTTTTAAAAAAAATAGTACCATTAATATGGTAATTACCAAGAAAGCGGGCGAAGAAAATTTTCCATTTAAACAGATTGTGAAATTAAATGCTCCACCTAAAATTGCTTTTTTCACCTAAGAGACTGCCCGTGAATGTATTTTGACCATAGACAAGTTTATGAAGAGAAGGATTATGGTGAACTGATGTTTTCTTGCAAGAATGCAGAGGAGACTTGTGATCACATCCTTCTTCAATGTCCTATTACATATAACCTATGGTCTATGACTTTTGGATTATTGGGGTACAGATGGGTGTTGTCGGGTATAGTCAGAGATGAGATTTGGGCTTAGAACTGCATTGTAGGTCGGAAGAAAGTTTTGGGTCTCATATTATTAGCCATTTTTTGGGTTATTTGGAAAGAGAGCAACAGAAAAGTTTTTGAGGGAGTGGAAGAACGTATTAATAAAATTAGAGAGAGACTGTTTCAATCCCTTGGTGTATTGATTATGAAATAAAACTTGCATACCTTTGAAAATTTTGGTGACTTAATTGATATGCTAACTGATTTATAAATTCTTTTATATATGGGTTTTGCACCCCATCGGTGCTTGTAATTAATACTATTTCACTTTTTTTTTCAAAAAGATTGTAATTTAAAAAACATTTAAAAAATCAATCAAATTACACAAAAAATAATTACATAATAGAATGTCAAACACAATTATTATGAAGTCATTTTTCAAATTTATTTTTTAAAAAATAATTAATTAAACAAAGAAAACTTAAAAATAAAAAAGGCACCCGCACGTGAAAATGGTGCAACTCCAACTAGCACAACCAGAAATCGTCACTACAATCAACACATCAATTTCCTCTCGTGTATTGAGACAAATAGGTACTACGATATAGCAAATCAAACAACACCAAGTCCTAGCATAACCCTAGATCATCACATGACCATGCCATACTGTGAGACTCGGCCATCAGGCGAGAGTCTGCCATCCACGCTATTACACTCATACAACTAGCAATCTGAACAGATCTAGTCTTTTGTGATCAAAATAGATTATATGAGCCATTAAGTGCTTTCAACAAGTTCACTGTTGTCCCAGTGATGGTTAATGATAGTCTTTAGTGGTCTGCTGTTGCTTTAAGAGGGGTGCAAAGATTAATTATAATTTTTTATTTTCTAAAAAATGTAATTGAAAGAGCACCCAAGTAATTTTATTTTGCTTTATACTACTATTGGGGTCAAATGGTACATGCCCGTACCTCAAGCAAGAGGTGCTACAATCAATAACCAAGAGAAGAACACAAATGGTTTTACATGAGATTTTTTAATCATCCTATGCTTTCCTTAAATAGGATCATGTTTGAAGAATCAATAAACCAGGCAATAGTTATGACCAAAGAAGCATTCTATTATAGAGGGGCCTCCAATGGTAATACTGGTTGAGAGTAACCACAGCAGTCTTTTTCTAATTTGGGTAGGACAACACAGTGAACTATCTCACAAGGTCAATATGGATGCCAAAAGATGGGATAGAGCGCGTTAAGGCAACTTTAGCCTATCCCATGTTTGGCCAAAATGCTTATGACTTTATTTTCATTGAAATGCTACTTATACATTCTCTAGGATTCAAAAACTACTTGAGATAAAACAGGATGTTTCTTGGGCCCTTATTGAATAATAAAAATAACTTCATTAATGAATGATTCAAACCACAAGGGATTTGAAGATATGTAAATGCAATCTTCAAACATTACCAGCAAGATATTTTGTCCAATCTTCAAATATTACCAGCAAGCTATTTTGTCCAATCAAGAAGTAATATTAACTATGATTGAATATCAATTTCCAACCTTCCCCATCACGATGGGATAGGTTGATGCACTGGTTTCACCTTCAGATTACTCCTGATCTGTTTAAGGTTTACTTATGCAATAGCTTACAAACGGGTTGGACCCCTAACTTGCATTGAAGTTTGCCTGTTTTAATTTTTTTTTCCTAG